TTTGTGGAGGGCTTTAAATCCCATATTAAAGCTGCTCTAATCTTTTCAAAGAACGGGTCAAATGACCTGCGTTCTTTTAAGTGACTTTCGGCTCAATGTTTTGGTTTTCTGGCCCACAACTTTACTGTTTTAGTTCCCTCTCACCAACTAATTATTGGATGTTTTTAGGAAAAGAGCTCTGATAAATCGCGACTAAACACCACCTACCCAGCACTAAACAGCAGACAGACACAGTTAGCAACTAAAACATATTGGATCATTAACCAGCTAAAGAGCCAGATATTGTCTCTGGTGGAGACTTAAAATAGACTCCAAAACCTCTATAAAAGGAGAGTAAATATCGGACTTATGCTTAAATATTGGTGACCAGGAGCGTGTGTTTTTCTGACATGATGCAGTGCCCCAAGTGTTGTGTATTTATTCCCTCAAACAGGTTTTATTGTTGCTTTCTTGACCCAATTTATGCTTTGAACAATCTTGTTTATCTTAAATTTATTTTTGTTAATGTTTTCTTTCTGTTTGTTCTTTTTTCAGCTTTTTTTGAATAACTGTGAAACACATTGTGTTTGAAAAGTGTCATATAAAGGACCAGTGTGTTGGCATTTAGTGGTGTAGTTGCAGATTGCAACTCCCTCACTTCACCCTTCCCTTCTAAGTGTGAAGCAGAGAAACACAAGCAGCCCTATCTATAGCCAGTGTTTGGTTTGTTCATTCTGAGCTACTGTAGCAACATGGCGGTTCAACATGGAGGACTCTGTGGAAGGCGACCTGCAGCATCTGTAGACATAAAAGGCTCTGCTAAGATAACACAAACATAATGATGATTATACACAAATTAAAACGTAGTTATGCACGATAAATTTCATTACTGCCAATAGATCCTCCTAAATGTTACACACTGGACCTTTAAGTGCCTCTTATATAGTTTATATGCCCTTTCCTGCAGGGGGCACTGCAGCCACCTGCAACATATTGCATGTATTTAATGTGTCTTTATCTCAGCTTTA